AGCATGAAGAGCTTCTGCCGCTGCTTTGGTCGCCTCAGGCTTTACCGAAACTCCATCCGTAATGACGACGACCACTTGTTTAACACCGGATCCACGTCCGCCATTTGTAGATGAAAAGGCGTGCATTCTGACGTCTACTAGGGCTTTCTCCGTCTTCGTAACTCCCTGGTCTCTCTTGATGCTCTTTAGTTTGAGCAATAATCTAGATTTATCTTTGAAGTCGTTCAATTTGATTAAATAGTTTGAATTATCAGCATAAGTGAAAAGAGAGATTTGGGTATTTTTGGGGCCTATTTTTGAATGAGTGACAAAATCTACAACGAAGTTGATCTCTCTATTGAAATCATTGTCTGTAACGCTGCTGGAAGAGTCAAGTACGAAGACTACATCAACAGGATTAATAGAACAGACTGAAAAGAAACAAAAAGTTAAAATAAATAAAATCATCTAATATATAAACAGTGTTTTCTTACGAAAATGTCAGGAGGCTTTTCTTTTGTTTTTCTTTGTAATCATTTCACCCCCAAGCAAAGCGATAATGCGACTAAGACACATAGGGTTACTGAGACTGAAAGAAAATGAAAACGCTAATCCAGAAAAATAGAAAAATTGCGATTGACGTTGTATTCAAATTTTTCAAGTTAGTATGTGAAACAAGAAACCCGAAGAGAGTTCAACAGGTGAGAAGTGATAGAAAAGTGCATTTAAAGAAGAATGCATCTAGCTATTTTAACAATAAAACGATAAGACCTTATAGCCAATCTAATAGTACACGTAAATTCATGCAATCAACGTGTACCAAGGAGGAGAGATTATTACAACAGCTGCTATGAAAACATTTATAGAAAAGACAATGGGATGCCAGGCTACAACAGTGGGAAAATGTTGTAGCCTGTTAGGGGCCAGAAGGAAAGACACGGAAAAAAGAAGGCAGGTTGAACAAGTGTATTGAAATAATAGTACATATATACAAAATAAGAGTGCTATTAGTCAGCAGATAGAAGTGTCCGTCCGAACTGTCAGGCTACACTGCATCCCGACTGCCTGCCTTCGGAAGTCTCGCAGGTTAGTATTTATGAAGGAGGAAGAGTTCTTTCTAATGGAGATAGGTCACCATAGAAAGTGATTGAAATCGAGATGCCAGGTCAATACCAATAACATTACAGACCCTACACTGTTTTTTTTTCTCGAAAATCTCGATACATATATATATATATATATATATATATATATATATATATATATAGCCGGATAACCAGACCAGATATGGCAGTAATATCCAATGTACGTACAAATGGCATATTTATAAATATGCAAGATGGATTCTGACAACAACAAAAAAAACATTGTCTGGTGCAATGCAGTGAATCAACATTCTTAGCAGCAGACTGAGGAGTTGATTCAATATAATCGCTCCACAGTAGAAAAGTGAAACCAAAAAGACGGAAATGTTACAATTTACAAGCCATTTCTTGCTCCAGTTAACATCTAATTGGAGGTCATTTTTCAGAGCAGTTTCCAGTTTTACTTTGACGGCCATATCAGATTGGGTTGGTTTGGTTTATTTTGTTTTCAACCTCAATGGGTTATTTAATGCCTAGAAGATTTTTAGTGCTGGTTATATTTTTTTCATCAAAAATTCATTGCTGATAATAATTGTTTCCTTAAAAAATTCATTACTGGTATCAAAATCTATTTTTAAACTTTCACAGTGTTTTGACCCTAGTTTAAGGGTTAAATATTTGCCCATACCTGGAACCTAACAGGTGCTACCACCCCGGATCATAGTGGAACTAGAAACACGAGCAATTAAGAGGTGGTTCCACCCTCCTCAGAACCTCCTGATCAGAGGCCTTGCTGTTCTTCATCTTATCCAGGACGCCTCATTTGGTAAGTGGGGGTTTACCCCTCTGCTGAGGTGCAGTCGGCATATTCTAAAGCCCCAGACGACAGGGCGTGGCTGTATCAGGCTTAATACTAAGACAGAATATACAGTAAAACATATTCTAAGCGACTGCAGTGACCTTGCCCCTATACGTCAACTACCTTATGACATGTCGATTCTAGAGGTCATTTTCAAGAATATAAAAGTATTTTCGGTATCCATAGAAATGCAAAAGCTAACATGACAGCAAAGTTAAAAAACAAAACAAAACTCATTTGCAAATTTCATAGACAAAACATTAGTGATGTAAAAAAAAAAAAAAAAAAAAAGAAAAAGCCGGTAGCAAATTTCATAGAAAAAGAATTTGTTATGTAAAAAAAAAGTATCCTAAGGATTTGAAACATTCCGCTGATGAAGAATATAGTCTGAATAAAAATTGAAATAATGAAAATAATTTTACTATATTTATACTTACTTGGCTTTTCGCAGACGACTTTATTTATAGAATCTTCCAAGGTTTTCAACTCGGAAAATTTGATCACGGAAAAAAAGTTTTTTTCAGAGGAAGCAATTTTCTTCAACTCAGTTTTGTCGGTCTTTTTACCAACTCCGATGGCAAAAGTATAAATATTTGTCTTGTGGAGCACTTCGGCAGCTTTGATTGTTTTCGCTTGCTCAACTGATTGACCATCTGTTATGACCACAACGGCCCTTTGCACCCCGGACCGAGCACCAAACGCCGAGCTGAAACCATTTTTTACAACGTCTTCAAGAGCAAGATGTGTATTTGTAATGCCACCCAACTGTGCAATGTTCTTAACGGCAGAGATCATCGACGGTTTATCCTGGTACACACTCAAGGGGAAATTCAGAACAGAAGAATTGGCAAAAGTGTATACGCCGACTTGAGTTCCTTGTTTGCCGATTGTCTCGGTATCTTGGATAAATTTCGAGACGAAATCTAGCTGCAGTGCAAAATCAGCGGGGTAATACTTGTGGACGCGTCCAATACAAAAATCACATCAGTCGAAACAATTTTACATTCTGTAACAATCAGAAAAGAAAAGAAAAAAAAAGGATAATTTGGAATATAAACACTTTTTGTAATTGGAAGGACGAATAACGACGTTCGAATCGCAAAACAGAAAAATATTTTGTTACTTAAACTTAAAGCATTAACTACCGTATAAGACGACATTTAAATCTTAAAATTACCTCCCATATTAGGAGCTCGTCTAATACAGCAGTTACAAAAAGCTAACCTTAAATTGTGTGGTATATCGGCACTGGTAAGTAGGCTAGTATGCTTTCACCATGGATCATTGTTGGCTATTAAATGCCTCAGTATGGTAACTACTGTTGTAAATATTTCTAGTTGAAACAATTCACATTATAATGCTGCACTACAGTCATAAATGTAATAAAACTACTTTTGCTTCTTGATTTTTACATTAAAATGCAATATTCAAGAGGGCTTCAAGGTACTTCTAAATTGGTTGGGGTATTATGTATCATTTAAGCTGTCTCTCAGGAACAAACAGACATATATACAAGATTAGAGTTTTCGTATTTACAGAGATGAGAATAATCACTGTTTTTCTATCATTGTTATGACTCTAAAATTGTAAGGCCTTAAGTTTCAATGGTTTTTCTTTTGTTAAGAACATTTAAATTTATATTCAAAAGTTGCCTTGCCTGTTTTTATAGCCATAGTTGAAAGCATCTGTGGCAAATGAAATTCGCCTCAATAGTGGCTAGCAGTCTGATATATTTGTGTTTCTTTTAAAATTTATTTTGAGTAGAGTGCAGTGTGTGGAACTTAGTTCGACAAAAATTGGTGTTTAGTTAAAGATATATATTTTCTCATAATTATGTACATTTAGCTTTAATTTACTATCTCTAACTATGTGTAATTTGTGTTTTCTGCTACATCAGCACTGGTAAGTAGGCTACTACGTTTGCACCATGGATTGTCGTAGGCTAACAACTGCCTCAGATATTTCAGCAAATATTTCTATTTGAAACAATTCACATTATAATGCTGTACTACAGCTATAAAGCTTCTTGATTTCACATTAAAATGCAATATTTAAGAGACGATTAAACAACAATTTGCAAAAGTTCCGCTGAGCAAAATACACAAATAACGTAAAGAAATCTTTCGTTCTTGATTTGTAAAGCAATGTCTGCGTTCACACCAATCATTATTTCTCATAGCAGTGTTAAATAACAACATTTAGGATAACATACAATCTATATTTCTGATTAAAATTCATTATCATTTTGGTGTTAAATAACAACAACATTTAACATAACATGTAAACTTTATTTTTCAATGACATGCATTATAAAGTATTTTCTTTCGCAATGTTAAGCAGTCAGTCAGTCAGTTATGTGCTATAAATGATAGATGCTTAGGTGATCATGTATCTTTCAATGCATGACTGAGGGGCAGATTTCTTTCCCGCAGTAGATTTCTGCGGTAGACCAGTTGCCATCCAAGGCTATAGAAGCCGTTCTGTCCTGCTATTAACCCATAGCTGGTGGGAGAAGAAGTGGATTCTTACTTTTTCCAAGGGTATTAGCACGTAAGTGAATGTAATGAATTCCTATGGAATTCGAACTCGACTCTCCGATTCCGCAATCTGAGCCGCTATCCATTACTCCACCGTGCTATAAAATGTTCATTTCTTATTAAAGAATAATACACATAAGACACCCACATACATAATTAAAACCTTTCAAAATGACTATGATCATCACTATCTGACGCAAAGAGCTTATCATAAACATCGTCATATCGGTCCCAGTAGGTCGTCTTATAGTACGCATACCAGATGAAATTACGAACATCTACCCAGACTTTGGGTTTCGTCTTATCTATAGGTCGCCTTATACGTGGAAATATATATTTGATCGTGGCTTCTCATTCCTGAAAATCATAAAACCAACTTAGTTCACGTGGATTCATTAATTTGTGCCACAAGGCAGAAGAGGAAGTAGGCAAAGGTTGCTTAACACTGTCTATCCTACACTTAGCTAATCTGACTCGTGACCCATTCACTCTAACAATGTCTGCAATCACCGCAAGAACCTATACTTCTGCATCCAATCTCAACATGTACCACAATACCACATTTTCGGCGGGGACCTAATAAAATATTGATGATGTTTAAAAAAATTTAATATGTACAATATTTTTAATGTTATTACAAAATATATAAAGATTGAAGGGTTACAAGGTGAACCCAATAATCAAAAGAAAACAAAACAACATTCAAATAAAACTAAAACTGTATTAGTATAGCCCGTCCAACCCCGCTAAAATAAGAGCGGTCGCTGTATTCTACCGACAAGCAGAATTAAGAAGCTCACACAGTAATGGCGGGGTAGAGGCAAATCAATTTGGGAATGGTTAAATATGAAAGGCTGGTCCAATCAAGATAAAAAGCGAGGATAAAAAAATAGAAAGGTTGGAGATCTTGACAAGGACCATAACAAAAAAATCGCCGGAAACAGGCCGGGAACGAGAGTCACTCACATTAACTAGGTGAACAAAACGAGAGTAGCTTAACCAGATATGGAGTTCGACAGGAATTCGCCCCATTGTGACTTTAGGTGACTAGAAAAGGAAATCAAGATTGGCCAGATTCATGCGAACGAGGCTCGCAACACGTATCCACCTTTTTCCGAAAGCTACCTAAGGCAAAAGCTTTCTATCAGTTCTGAGATTCATCTTGAACCGATGCCCAAAGAATCCAATCAGATCCTGATGATGTGGCATGGTAGGAAGAGAGGAGAGCAAAGCAAGGCTGATTAATATGTACACAGTCCGGGCCAGCCGTCACGGGCCCATGGCGAACCATTCTACATTCCTCTTTCTCAGCTAGCTCCGATCAGCGCTGAGGCGGAACCTCGATAAAATATCGGCAACGATGAGAAGTATAAAGAATAGTGGGAGGAATCACGAGAAATTTGAAAGAGCAAGCGGGAAAAAAAGGAATGCGCGTGGCGGAAAAGTCAATCGGCGCCTGTTGATTGCGAAAAACCGATGGCCATACGCAATGTCTCGGGCGATGGGTGAAGTGGGGGAAGAATTAAACCTCTCGGCCAACTTAACGAAAAGCCCTCATCATAAGATGTTGTAAGGAACTGACCTAAAGAGATTTGAACCACGTGTTTGCTTGGATTATGTAATAACACACCGAGAGGTACACTGTGGAAATACGAACGAAGGAAAATCAAGGAGAGAGAGAGAATGATCTCAAATTGAGAGGAGAATATAAAAACGAATAAAAATAAAATTGAAAAAAAAACGGAAGAGATATAAAAAGGAGAGATTCCAATAATAATAATAATAATATAAAGAATCAATATTGTTTGCTTCACCCACGCCCTCGTTGATATACACCCCATAACCCCACCAAAGTTTGCATATACCATTCCACAAAGGAAAGATAGAAACTTCATTGATTCGCTCTAATTAATTTTTTTATGGCGTCGAATTCTGTCGATCCCTGATTAATGTATATATTTCCATAGTCAGTGTTCTGTTGTTCTTGCAGTGAATCTATCAGGTCATCCCATAAATTCTGTCCGAATTTTGAATAAAGAAAACAAGTGACCAAATGTTAAATTTAATTACAGATTCAATCAACAATGTATTTTCACTGATTATCTATGACTTCCTTCCATCTCTTAACAAGCTTACTAATTCCATTACTGTAAAATTCTTTTGGCTTTAATTTGAAGAACTCACAAATGTCAGTTTTAACCTCTTCCTGTGTTACAAAAGCTGTTTCTTCCAAATGATTCTGTAAACAAATGGTAGTCTAAAGGAGCAAGATCGGGATAATAAGGTGGATGAAGAATTTTCTCCCAACCAAGTTCTTCGATCTATTTTGACGTGATTCTTGCTGTGTGGGGTCGCGCATTGTCCTGATGAAACATCACCCCTTTTCGATTCATGAGAGCAGGTCTTTTTTTCCTCAAAGCTTTGTTCAAACGCTCTAATTGCTGACAGTATATGTGAACATTAATTAGGTGGTAAGAATTCAAAGTGGATTATTCCTTGGCGATCCCACCAGATTGAAAGAAGAACCTTTTGCCCATGAAGTTCCCTTCTCGGCTGTGGCTGGGGTCCTTCCCCTTTACCAAGCCACTGTCTGCGACGCTTAGCATTTCGATAAAAGATCCATTTTTCGTCGGCAATCATAAGTCTATCCAAAAAAGGTGAAACAAGTTGGCGAGAATGGAGAGAAGAGCAGATGTCAACACGGGATTTGAGGTTGTTTTCAGACAATTCATGAGGCACCCATTTTCCAAGTTTAGGAACTTTTCCAAGTTGTTGAAGATGACGATGAATAGTTGTATGGTTTGAACTGAGAACCACTACCATTTCCTCAACTGATAAAGCAGGATTTTCTTCAAGGGCTGCTTCAAGAAGCTTTTCATCAAACTCAACTGGACGTCCGATTCGATCTTCATCTTCAAGAGTGAAATCTCCACCTCTGAATTTTGCAAACCATCTTCTACAAGTTCTTTCATTCACACATTCCTCTCCATAAACTGGGTGAATGTTTCTAGCCGCTTCGGCTGCTGAGTTTCCTTTCTTGAACTCACAAAGCATTATGTGCCTCAAATGATTTTTGGGTACTTCCATGTTAGCAGGGTTTTAATCAAACAAAATTTAATTTTATTGTTCTCTAAAATAAAATTTGATCAGTTTAAATGCATCTAAACATAAAAATAATGTTCAGCTCCATTAGACATTATAAAATACTCTTTAAATTTCGTTCATTTTAACAAAAAGTTAAAATTCGGACAGAACTTATGGGATGACCTGATATTTGTTGTTATATAAAATTTTATATAGACTTCCACAGTGTCTGCGTCTACCGTTATTTAATGAGCTTTGACCGGTCAGACAGACCCTATTATCTTACGTTTCCTTTTCTTTTCATATACAATATTGTTAACGTGTGCTTAAAATTCAGGGCATCCGCAACTGCCTCAATATTTGGTGAGAAGATCATTCTACCTAGACTGGAATGTGTCATGGCCACGTGACAATGAGACAAGCGTTCATCTCGTAAGATTCCCTCCATTCACGTCACCTACAACAGTATTCTAGATTCATAAAGAATGACCGAAGAATGAATTAAGAATAAACGAAGAATGAATGAAGGATGAATGAAGAATGAACGAAGAATGAACAAAGAATGAAGAATGAATGAAGAATGAACGAAGAATGAAAGAAGAATGGACGGAGAATGAATGAAGAATGAACGAAGAATGAACGAAGAATGAAGAATGAACGAAGAATGAACGAAGAATGAATGAAGAATGAACGAAGAATGGACGAAGAATGAACGAAGAATGAACAAAGAATGAAGAATGAACGAAGAATGAATGAAGAATGAACGAAGAATGAACGAAGAATGAAGAATGAACGAAGAATGAATGAAGAATGAATGAAGAATGAACAAAGAATGAAGAATGAATGAAGAATGAACGAAGAATGAAGAATGAAAAGGAATGAATGAAGAATGAAGAATGAAAAGGAATGAATGAAGAATGAACGAAGAATGAACAAAGAATGAAAAATGAATGAAGAATGAACGAAGCATGAATGAAGAATGAATGAAGAATGAACGAAGAATAAATGAAGAATGAATGAAGAATGAACGAAGAATGAACGAAGCATGAATGAAGAATGAACGAAGAATGAACGAAGAATGAACGAAAAATGAATGAAGAGTGAATGAAGAATGAACGAAGAATAAATGAAGAATGAATGAAGAATGAACGAAGAATGAATGAAGAATGAATGAAGAATGAACGAAGAATAAATGAAGAATGAATGAAGAATGAACGAAGAATGAATGAAGAATGAACGAAGAATGAACGAAGAATGAATGAAGAATGAATGAAGAATGAACGAAGAATGAATGAAGAATGAACGAAGAATAAATGAAGAATGAATGAAGAATGAACGAAGAATGAATGAAGAATGAACGAAGAATGAACGAAGCATGAATGAAGAATGAACGAAGAATGAATGAAGAATGAACGAAGAATGTACGAAGAATGAATGAAGAATGAACGAAGAATGAACGAAGAATGAACAAAGAATGAAGAATGAACGAAGAATGAATGAAGAATGAACGAAGCATGAATGAAGAATGAATGAAGAATGAACGAAGCATGGATGAAGAATGAATAAAGAATGAACGAAGAATAAATGAAGAATGAATGAAGAATGAACGATGAATGAACGAAGAATGAATGAAGAATGAACAAAGAATGAAGAATGAATGAAGAATGAACGAAGAATGAACGAAGAATGAACAAAGAATGAAGAATGAACGAAGAATGAATGAAGAATGTACGAAGCATGAATGAAGAATGAATGAAGAATGAACGAAGAATAAATGAAGAATGAACGAAGAATGAACGAAGAATGAACAAAGAATGAAGAATGAACGAAGAATGAACGAAGAATGAAGAATGAACGAAGAATGAACGAAGAATGAACGAAGAATGAACGAAGAATGAACGAAGAATGAACGAAGAATGAATAAAGAATGAACGAAGAATGGACGAAGATTGAACGAAGAATGAATGAAGAATGAACAAAGAATGAAGAATGAACGAAGAATGAATGAAGAATGAACGAAGCATGAATGAAGAATGAATGAAGAATGAACGAAGAATGAACGAAGAATGAAGAATGAACGAAGAATGAATGAAGAATGAACGAAGCATGAATGAAGAATGAATGAAGAATGAACGAAGAATGGACGAAGAATGAATGAAGAATGAACGAAGAATGAACGAAGAATGAATGAAGAATGAACGAAGAATGAACGAAGAATGAATGAAGAATGAATGAAGAATGAACGAAGAATAAATGAAGAATGAATGAAGAAAGAACGAAGAATGAACGAAGAATGAAGAATGAACGAAAAATGAATGAAGAATGAATGAAGAAAAATATTCTTAGCGAATTTGCAAACGATGCTGGTGTTTATAAAACTTATGTTAGTCTAACGAGGAAGTTTAGACAGTGTAAGAATTATTGTCACAAGGATATTGAAATCGAAGAACTCGGCCAATTTTCACATTCTAAATAATGTTAAACGGATAGGTGTTATCCATTCCTTCTCGTTTCAGACTGAATTAAGTGCATTGACAAAAAACGGAGATTGTATTGGGAAATCCTAAAAATGAAGGGAAAATAAAATATTATATTATATTAATAATGCTTAGAAAATATGAATATGCGGTTGATCATTCCTTATGTTTAAATTTTATGCAAAAACCGACAAAAATAAAAGTATTCCAGAACCAAATTTAATATTTACGTTTATAAAATATTTATACTTACTTGGCTTTTCGCAGACGACTTTATTTATAGAATCTTCCAAGGTTTTCAACTCGGAAAATTTGATCACGGAAAAAACGTTTTTTTCAGATGAGGCAATTTTCTTCAACTCAGTTTTGTCGGTCTTTTTACCAACTCCGATGGCAAAAGTGTAAATATTTGTCTTGTGGAGCACTTCGGCGGCTCTTATTGTTTTCGCTTGCTCAACTGATTGACCATCTGTTATGACCACAACGGCCCTTTGCACCCCGGACCGAGCACCAAACGCCGAGCTGAAACCATTTTTTACAACGTCTTCAAGAGCAAGATGTGTATTTGTTATGCCACCCAACTGTGCAATGTTCTTAACGGCAGAGATCATCGACGGTTTATCCTGGTACACACTCAAGGGGAAATTCAGAACAGAAGAATTGGCAAAAGTGTATACGCTGACTTGAGTTCCTTGTTTGCCGATTGTCTCGGTATCTTGGATAAATTTCGAGACGAAATCTAGCTGCAGTGCAAAATCAGCGGGGGTAATACTTGTGGACGCGTCCAATACAAAAATCACATCAGTCGAAACAATTTTACATTCTGTAACAATCAGAAAAGAAAAGAAAAGAAAAAGGAAAATTTGGAATATAAACACTTTTTGTAATTGGAAGTACGAATAACGACGTTCGAATCGCAAAACAGAAAAAAATGTTTTATTACTTAAATTTAAAGCATGAACTACCGTATAAGACGACATGTAAATCTTAAAAATTACCCCCTCCCCAAAAAATGGAAGCTAAAAGCCCCGAATTTAATTTTGTAATTAAATTAAAGACATTAGTTCCATTTCATCCTTAAGCGAATTTTCCAAAATTAGCTTCCATTTTTGAAACATGGTTAAAACTGTGTAGCGAAAAAAAACATATTTTAAATCAATTAATTTATAATACTAATGCTCTGTAAATTTACATTGAGCACTATTTTGTAAAAACAAAAATATCTATAAGAACACCGGATTATATATCTTACTGTTCTTTCTTTATATATATATATATATATATATATATATATATATATATATATATATGATAAAATTATAGTTTTAGGATATGCTATATTTATGGGTAAAAATACTCAATTTCGAGATATATAGCAGGATAAAATAAATATTGTTTAACTCTTTTATTGCTAATTTTTAACAAAAAGAAAATTCATAAATTCAGTTTCATATATTTGGTTCTTATTAAAATTCAGAAAATAGCTTTTTAAAACAATAAACATTTTCAATGTAGTCCAGAGTAATCGTAGTGAAAAATATCCTTTTCAAATCTCGTTTTCTTTACTGCTATGTTAAACTTTGCTACTTCTTGTTTTCTCAGTAAGTCATGAACTTATGGCCCTGAAAAGCATAGGATTTATTTCGTTTTTTTTTTTTAACGATTTTTATTCCTGCCACATCTGATCTGGTGTTTCTGCTATGTATTTAGAGATTCTAGAAAGGAAGATCTGCAGTATTATTGGCCCTGACTTGGCATCTCGGCTTCAGTCGCTTTCCCAACGCCGTAATACAGCTTACCTGTGCCTTTTCTATAAATACTTTCATGAAAATTCTTCAGATGAACTTATGGTACTAAGACTATATGAATTTAAACCCAGTATGAGATTGCCGGCAATGTCTCTTCATTTTACAGTTGAAATGTCGAGATACAACCGTAAGTTCTATGCTAACAGTTTCCTCGTTCGCACTTCTCGCTTGTGGGAATCGCTTCCAATTTTTTGCTTTCCAGTCAACTTTGATATTTAAAAAAAATCAAATGCTGTATTAACCATTATCTCCAATCTTCTTAATTCCTGTTCGTTTATTGCTCTCTCTCTCTCTCTCTCTCTCTTTCTTCTTTTTCTCATATTCTCTCACATTCAGTAACCCCTTGCGTCTTTATGGCGTTAATTGGGGTGAAATGATTTTAAAAAAAGATAGTGGTACTTACGTGCATGTTTCTGTTGGCAAATGACGCTATTTACTTGTTTCTCGACCTTTTGCAAAGCCAGAAAATCCTTGACACTGATGGCGTTTTCATCTGTCGACGCAATCGTCTTTAATTCATTCGTATTAATTTTCTGACCAACACCAATGGCCAATGTCAAAATGTTTTCCTGGTGTAATGCCTCTGCGGCTATTTTAGTCTTTTCCGGCTTTAGTGACTCTCCATCAGTAATAACGACTACTGCTCGATTGGCGTCTGGACGGGCGTCCATTCTGACACTAAAACCGTTTTTCAGGACATCGTTTAAGACCATGTGTGTGTTGGTCATTCCACCCAGCTGCTGGATGGACAATATAGCCGATTTTAGAGATGTTTTGTCTTGATATCGTCCTAATGGGATCTCATTGCTGAAAATAGTGCCAAATGTATAAACTCCAACTTGTGTCCCGTCTTTACCTATCACTGGAATATCATCGACAAATGCCAAGACAAACTGAAGAACTCTTTGAAAGTCTGAATTTGTTATGCTTGAAGAAGCGTCCAGAACAAAGATGACGTCTGTCTTTTTCGCTTTACAAACATTGTCAACTGGCGCTGTTGAAAAAAAAACACGACAATATATATAAGAGCAGTGAATGAATATTTGAAAGTATATGACAAATAAAAAAGACAATTTAGACAGAATCGACCGAATGTTTTACCGATGAGCCGGTTCCATCAAAAAAATAATTTTGCTTCACAAGAGCAAAATCAGTTAAACGGATATAATGTCCGAATTCCGATGGCCATAGACTGAATGATATGTCCCCTATTTAAAATTGCTGATAACAATCCATGAAATCAGGTTATCACATAACTAAAGCCGAATACCGATGCTGATAGATTGAATGATATCTTCTCTCTTTTCAAATGCTTGATAACAATCTATGCTATCAGATTATCCCATAACTAAAGCCCGAATTCCGATGCTGATAGACTGAATATCTTCCCTCTTCTAAAATGCTTGATAACTATCTATGTAATCAGGATATCTCATAGGTAATGTCCGAATTCTGATGGCGATAGATTCATTGATATCTTCCCTCTTCTAAAATTCCCGATAACAATCCAGGTAATACAGTTATCCCATAAGTAATACCTGAATTCCTATGTCGATAGATTGAATGAGATCTTCGCGCTTCTAAAATGCTTGATTATTTTATTACTTTAGTCATATCTATCTATCTATCTATCTATCTATCTATCTATCTATCTATTACTCTGTTCACATCTATCTATCTATCTATCTATCTATCTATCTATCTATCTATCTATCGCTCACGGTCACATCACGTGGAAACACTGGTTGCCGTACGATAACCGAAGAAACGTCGAGTCTGACCAGTAATTAGATGGGTGGCTGCATCGGAATACCAGGTGCTGTAAGCTTGGATGTGCGGGTGGTGTAATGGATAAAGGCTCGGAATTGTTAATCGAAGAGATGAGTTCTAATTCCTGTTGTCTTCGTCACTTACGCTAAAATACCCTGGGGAAACGTATGAATCTACATCTTCTCCCATCATCTATGGGTTAATTAGTAAGACATGAATCACTAAATCCTTACTAACTAAAAAAAAAAAAAAAAGGAGAAAAAACATTGTTACAATCTAAAAATATTTTCTGGCTTTAATCTTCAAATAGCTGGTAAACCCTTGAAATATACTCCATCGTTGAAAGAACCAACGTGACAGACAAATTATGTAAATAAAGTCAAAACTACACGATCGACATTTTCCCGTAAATCAAGAAACTTTTAAAATGGTGGTACGTTGAAAGGAATCCCTCCTAGCCACAAATCTTGGATGGAAATTGTTGTCGAAAACAAAGTTAATAAACAAATTACAATTAAACTTTAATTTTAATTATTTTATTCTGACGATAAATTTGGACATTACCTATTTTAAACAACAAATTTCCCATGATTTCTCTCGAACGCTCATATCTGCTCGAGCCACTTACGTTTAACGATGAAACAGACTGTAGCAGCTGGGTGTAAACCTCAGTGTTCACTTTCATATTTAATATCCCTGATTTCGTGCACTTCATAAATATACCATACCTTAAAACTATATATATATATATATATATATATATATATATATATATATATATATATATATATATATATATAAAAAAACCAAAATTACCTCAGCATGAAAATAGTCTATTTCTGGTTGATCTGAACCCAGCCGTCTTTAAGAGCTAAAGCTGGATTCAGATCAGTCAAAAGTAGACTATTCCCATGCTGAGGTAATTTTGATTTTTACCGCAATATATATATATATATATATATATATATATATATAAAGAGAGAGAGATTATAGGTAATATGTCCGTTGGTATATAATCCAGGTGGATCCTAGTAGTAACAAGTATTAAAACTGATACTATATACATATGTGTATGTGTGTGTGTGTACATTGTTCAAACGTTAATTTTAGTGGATTTGAGTAGGACATCCCATTTTTAAAAACTGTTTAGCTGTCCTGCGCACTCGAGAAAGCTTAATAGAGAAAATATGCCGCAGACAATTTAAGAATAATAAGTAGGCTACTGTAGCTAAAACCAAATCTTACAATGGGAAAGGCCATAGATGTAATTTATGTCTTGTAGATTAAAATACTTAAATAACCCTAAGTTGTTAAACAAAGGAAATGAATTGACGGTCACATGTAGGCATATAAATAAATACCTGATGAAATACGTTGATCAAGATCCATTTCTATTATAGATTATAAGCTTTCCTTTTTAAATGTTTTTCTGTTTATTTATCTTAGATCGAGCAGATATATATATATATATATAGTTTTAGGTTGGTTTACTTTAATACAAAGTTTAAAAAACAACAATTCATCCCCGTTTATTTTAAATTATTTTAAATATAAAATTAAAACATTAATTCACGTTTATTTTTAATACAAAATATAAATCCAGTCTATTTTAAATACATTTTTAACCCATTAATCCCCGTATAATATATGAACTGCGCCATCATTACGTTCACCAGATATTTTTATTAAATTTAAATTATGTAACAGTCAGTCTTTGCTCAGCACCTGAAGATTGAGTTGTGCATGAAATTCCGAGTCGGGTTACCGGCGAGGAAGGAAATATATATATATATATATATATATATATATATATATATATATATATGTGTGTGTGTGTGTGTGTGTGTGTGTGTGTGTGTGTGTGTATCTATATATATATATATAGATATATATATATGCATGTGTGTGTGTGTGTGTGTGTGTCACTGTGTAATTGTGAAGAGAGTGTCACATATTTAAGAACGGATATTTAATGCGCCTTACGTGTGCGTATGTGTATGTGTATGTAGGTGTATATAGTTTCTCAAGCAAAATTTAGATAGATATGTATAGAATGAGATAGATAGATAGATAGATAGATAGATAGATAGATAGATAGATATGAATATATTGAGATAGATAGATACATACCTACATATCAGAAGAATGGGATAGATATGAACAGATAGATAGATATGAACGGATTGAGAGAGATAAATAGACAGATATGTATAGAACGAGATAGATAGATAGATAGATAGATAGATAGATAGATAGATAGATAGATAGATAGATAGAATGGTATAGATAGATATGAACATATTGAGATACATACATATATACATATGAATAGAATGGGATAGATATAAACAGATTCAGATAGATAGATAGATAGATAGATAGATAGATAGATAGATAGATAGATATGAACTGATTGAGATATATTCATACATAAATACATACATATGAATAGAATTGGTTAGATAGATAGATAGATAGATAGATAGATAGATAGATAGATAGATAGATAATGAAGAAATTGGGGTAGATTTCAAGAAAATACAATCTTTTTTTAAGGAAGTACTATTTCGACATGAGATGCCTTACCTGTTAAAACCATTTCCCACATGGGGCAAAGGCATAATGTCAACAAAAGTGACACAATCATAGCATTCGGTGTTATCGGGTAGATTTCCAAAAATGTTCACAATTAAATGCAAGGACGATTTATTGTTTATATCGTCTGCTGTGTTTGATTTTTTAATCGATTCAGCCAATCAGCGCCTCGAAGGATAAACTAAATTCAACCGATAAGGATATTTCTTATCAATGATGTATGAAATTTACTGCATTTGATTATACGTAATTTTTTCGGAAGTCAGATAAATAAGAAATGTTTCCCTTTCGTTATACATGCATACACATGCGGGCATATATATATATATATATATATATATATATATATATATATATATATATATATATATATATATAAAATCTATCAATCAAAACTCATCCCAAAAAGTAAACACGAAAACATATTTTTACTACTTTACATAAAAGTAGAAAATTGAAAAGAATAAATAAAATAAATGTAAATACGCATTTTAATACAAAAAAAATGAAATAAATAATAAAAAAAAATTACCAAATCACTCACGCAAAAATAATCGTTAGAATAGACTACCCACAATGCATCACTGACCCGTATCTATAAATAGTCGAGGAAAAACACAACGCATGTGGCATGATGATTGCGTTTAGCATGAAACAGTCTGTCGCCTCTGACTGTTGAATTCAATAGTCACTTTTATATTTACATACGCTCTATCTCTGAAATGGAGCACTTTATCCCATAAATATAGCATACCTTAAAACTATATTTCTACACCAAATCAGTCGGGTTTCGATCCCGGCTTGAAGCAATCGGATGTCTAGCCACACTGATGAGATGGGAAACAGCGAAACAGTCTGACATTATATATATGCTCCTGAAAAAAATATTTCTTTTGAGCTCTCGGGGAGAAAAGTGAATTTGTAAACAGTGACTATTACTGCTGCTGATGCAAGACTCTTCGTTAAGACGAATCGAGTTCTCCAGTAACTGGGATTCACCTTGATCCTTGCCGTGTGCCAATGGCTTAGGGGTAGAGTCTCCGACTGATACCAAATCAGATACTGAATCAGTCGGGTTTCGATCCCGGCTTGAGGCAATCGGATGTCTAGTCACACTGATGAGCTGTGAAACAGCGAAACAGTATGTCTGTGGATGACAATATATATATATGTGTGTGTGTGTGTGTGTGTGTGTGTGTGTGTGTGTGTGTGTGTGTGTGTGTGTGTGTGCTTATATGCAGTGCATCACCTTGAGGGTAGTGCAGAAGCATCTTTCACTGTGTCTATTCACATCAGAGGAGAAACA